ATGACAGGAGGGAGGCGCTGAAAGTGGCAACCACAGCCAAGGCTCAAGTTCCCCTAGGAGGCCCCCAGCAGGTCCCCTAGAAGAGGTCCTGGAGGGCTTCTCCCAGGAGGACTGCTTGGGCAGTCTGGAGGGTGAAGGGAAGGGCATGACAGGCTGAGGGAACAGGCCAGTGTGTTCTTGGGTGAAGGAAGTGCAGTGTCTGAGACTTAAGGGGAGGAGACCTGGACGGGCTGCCTGGACCCAGGAGCCACTTAAGCTGCCCAGCTAGGCCGAGAGCTGACCCTCTCCCTTGCCTGCCCCAGGCACCCCGCCCCCAACACCTCCTCTCCACTGCTCAGACAGAGACTGCAGGGGAAGAGACCGCAGGCACAGCTGGCTCAGCACAGGACTGAATGGGGGGGTGAGGGGGGACAGGGAGCAGGAGGGCCGGGGAGCCAGCAGCCTGCAGGCCAAGCCGCCTGCCCCTCCTGGCATCAGCCTCTGCCCAACACGCCAGACCCAGCCTGGGGGCTCTGACCAAAGCCTCCGCAGGCTCCTGGAGGGGCGACAGGAAGCTTGGCTGCTGAATAATTGAAAGGAAGGCTTTCAGCATTTCTCCCTCCCCCCTGCAGTGTCTTCTAGAGGGTTGGGTAACAAACAGCAGTGCCAGCGCCTCCTGAGAGACTCCAAGGAGGCTGGGAGGAAGCTCGCGCCGCCACTAACCCTCTCGCTGCCAGCCTGGGCCTGCTCAGCCCCTTCCTCTGGCTCCCACCGCGGTGTGGCCTGACCAGTGGACACTGATCTCGAACAGCCCACGTGTTATCTGTGAAAAGTGGCTTTTTTTTACCTACTAGTCTTCATGAGTTGGTGCTGATTTGCAATGGGCAGTAGCTACCTGATCTCTCTGATTTATACTGATCTATAATTCTTACTGGTCAACTCAACTCACTCCTCTGGTTTAGCCTGGCTGCCATGGCTTATGGGTAGCACTAACAGCTAACACTTATGCGTAGAATGGTCAACCATTGTACATATGTTAATTCCTTTACCCCTCAGGAAACAAAGGAGACCTTAAGTCACTCAGAGGCACAGAGCAAGTGTGCAACTTGCTCATCTGTCTGCCTTGGGTCTCTCTTGGGTTAGGGGGGCCTGCCTATTGTTTGGGGTCAGATTCTCACCAAAGACCAGAGGCCACCAAAACTGAAGACCACAGACAGCAAAACCCAAATCTTTCCAAAACGCAAACTGGACGTGAACTCTCCAGCTCAGCCGCCGTTATGGCTCCCCACTGCCGAGACCACGAGTCCTACCTGCTCAGCCTCCCCCAGCTCCTCCTTGTGCCCTGGGCTCAGCAGATCCAACCACCCTCTCTTCTCTCTCCTCTCCAGAGCCTTCCTCCCACACATACCCGCACTCTGCCAGGGGTCCGTCCACCTTCGCCCCACTATCCCCTACTTATGCTTCAAGATGTTTCCACCAAGACCTTCTCCCCACACACCCCAGCTTGGTTAATGCCTCTCGCCCCCCACCCCGCACTTACTCTACTACATTATCAGTGTCAGTGCTTCTCTCCCTACACCGCCCTTGTCCCCCGATGAGCCCCAGTGGCCTCTCACCCCAGAGCTGTGACTTGTCCCAGGAGCTGAAGGACTCTGTCCCCATCCTTTGGCCCTTACATCCCAGCCCCACTCCCTTGGTCTGGGAACACAGGGAGGGCTCTAGTTTGTTTTAGCCTCTTCCTGATTACCTTTGCCCTCTTTCTATGCTCATGCTTAGGAATTCAAAGTCTGGAGAAGGGTCCTCCCCCCCCCAAGCAAAGGAGGGGGGACAGGAGGGTGCCTGATGCTCTGGGGCTGTGTAGGGAACGTGAGTGCAGCCTGGTTCAGCAGCAGGAATTGAGGTGGTGAGACACGTTCACTTCTTGGATAAAGAAGAGTGCCTGGCCACAAGACAGTTGTTCTTTCCCAGCTAGATAAAGTATCTTGCTGTGTGTTATAAGCACTGTTGTCACACCCTCATTTTTACAAAGAGTCAGACTTAGTTTCACAACCCAATTTTGTGGTTTTGCATGTATTTGTCACTTCTGCCACATTTCCAATAGTTACCAAGAACTTCTTTCCCCCAGCAAACTCAGGAGGTAGGTCCCTCCCAGCCCTCCCACACAACACTGGGCTCCTTCTGTGGAGGGACTTGCCCTGTGTCCACAGCAAGGCAGCTTCCTGCCACTTATCCCCTTCTGCCCTGGCCCGGGGCCTTGGCTGTGCGGCTTCAGCCCGCCACCCCCGCCTGGACTCTCCTTCCTTACACTGAGAAGACTCACCTTTCAGGGAGTCAACTCACACACCATTGAATTTCCCTGACCATCCCAGGAAAAGATACATCCTCCCTGGTCTCTTTTTTGCTCCCCCAATCTGGAGGGGGGAGAGTGGTAGTGGAAAGTCAGGATCTGTCTTCACAACAAGCTTGTCACTGAAAAAATAAAGGGTTTACCACGCTCTGAGATAGGGAGTGTTGTTTCCATTTTACAGATGAGAAAACTGAGGCTTTCTCAGGCCAAGGTAGTACATCAAGTTCAAGGATACTGTCTCTAAATCCAGTGTTCCTGTCCACATCCTGCCTTTCCTGGGATAGTACAAAACATAGAAAGATTTTAGTGGCAAGAAGGTGATTATATTGCGTGTGATCACAGGTGTTAACTGGGAGTGTTTACTTGAAACTGTAGGAACTTGTACCTTTGAGGGAGTGGATGTGTGAGTCCTAGAATTATCACTGGGAAGGAGGTCTCTGACAGCAAGGATAGGGAAAAGACTCCCCAGAAAAATGGGCCTGGTCCCCTGGGCAAGAGAGCAAATGGACCCCCCCCCGGGTTGGCATCATAGGTGTTGCCCATATGCCAGAGTGGATGCCTAGGAAATGAGATGGGGGAGGGAAGGAGCTAGCTGCTGAGGCCAGTGAGGATTGAGGGAGCAAGTGGCCCGGTCAGCCCAGACAGCTCTTTAAATGATGCCCACCCCTGCCCTGGCCTCTGGCCTCTCCTCCCACCACAATCAACAAACTCATTCACCCTCAAGTTTCCATCTCTAGTTGTATAATAACACTTCCCTAGTCAGTCCCAATCTCAGCCTCCTGAGTGCCAGACTCAGGACCCAGGGCTTCCTGGAGATCCTCATCTGGAGACCTAGAGCCTCCTAATACTCACTAGGCCTAAAACAGTGCAGTCACCACTGCCAAGCAATTCTTGTGACTACGGCTACCATTGTGTGGTTGCATTTGATGCCAGTAGGGCTTAGGTGGGAAGCCAGCAGACCGTAGGGTGAAGAGGTTGGAACAGCAGTGTAGTCTGTAAACCCCACAAAGCCCTTCTCTTCAGAAGAGTCTGGATGATGCTTCCAGGTGAAGGTGGAGGTAGGAGGTTCAGGGAGGGGCAGCAACATCCTAAGGGTCACACAGCAAGGATTAAAGGCATCCAGGCTGGAACGCAGGACTTGAGATTTAGGGGGATGGACATATGCAAAGAGTTTATGTTCTCATCACCACTATTACCTCCTGCAGCTGCAGAGACTGGGAGGAAAAGGGGGGGGGGGTTGCGGAGAGCATAAGAGATTCTGAAGAGGATAAGTGACACTCCCACATCCATCACTCTCAAGTGAGTGAACGGCTGTGTGTTGGGGGGCTGTGTTTCAAGGATGGCCCCTCCAGGACGTCCAGACATATCCAATTCCTTATTTTCTTCCCACCTCCCTCACCCCTTTCTCCCTCCCTTCCTATTCCCTGGGAAGGAGGCCTCCCTGTTGCTTAGCAACTAGCAGAGCCTTGGAGAAAGGAAATGGAAATAGCTCAGGAGGTGCCTCCCCTCTGCTAAGATAGGCCCTGTGTGTGTGCGTGTGCACGCGCGTATGCACACAGTACATGTATATTCTTTGCTTTGGGCCTAGCACAGAGCCAGGTTCTTGCCTCCAAAGCCACTGGGCCCAGAACCTATAAGTAGGAGGTTGCTGCCTGGGAAGTTTATGTCAGTGCTACTTTTGGTTACATCCTCAGAAGCAGTGTTTCCAGAACAAAGGAGGGGACAATCCTGTGGGCTTCAATCTGGGTCAGGCCTCCACCTGGAATGTTGACTTTGAAGAATTAGCTAGATGAAGGATGCAGATAAAAAAAAAACTGCACCTGTGGTGGGAATGGAGTTGACCCTGGAGAAGGCGCCACTTTCCCACCTTCCAGGGCTGTCCTGAGAACAGGCTGGGAAGTGGGAGCACAGGTGGTCTGGGGCCCCACCTGCCAGAGTCAGACAAAGGTTTTGGGGGGTAGGAAGGAGTGCTCAAAACTAAACCTGAAGATGCGCTGTCGCAGCACTATGAAGCAGTCCGCAGTCACTGCAGCAGGAGTTCAATCCTCAGCCAGGGAAGTGGCCCACATGGCACAACAGACCTCTCCTGTCTCTCCTGCTGCTCCCCTCAGCTGTGTACTTCATAGCTCTGCCTGTTCTGCTCCCCACTCTGTCTCTGGCTCAGTCCCCTACCCCCACATCTCTGGCTTGTACCCCAGTTCTGTAGGCATAAACAAATAAATATTTTTAAAAAACTAAACATGAAGGAAACACAAGAATAAGACTTACATTTTCCCAAAGACCAGTTTGGTTGCCTGGGGGGCTCCAAGCAGGTGTGCATGCAGGGGCTCGAGGGAGAGGCCAGGGGACAGCCATCGGACAGAACGGATGCTTAGGCAGTGACTAGACCTGGCTGCGACAGGGCTCTGATCCAAGGGCCCTAGAGGCCATCTAGCCTGGCGGCACCCACGCACCTTATACTTGGGTGTCCGAACCCCTTCATGCCCTGAGGTGTGACCCAAAGGTACAAACCTGCCTCACGCAGCCCCCCTCTGCCGCCTGAGGGGAAGCGGATCAGCGCCATGAGTGGGCCTTTTAATCTCCAGGATTAACCCCACCCCCACCCCAGCACAGAGGGATTTAGCAGGTGGCCGGGAAGTCACCACCCGGCCTCATCCCTGTGTCTGTCCTGCAGGGCCTAGGCCAGCAGCCCCAGGACCATCCGCTATGTCCTCCGCCGTGAACAACGGGGCGGCCAGCATGCCGTCCCCACCGGACGCCGCGAATGGCTTCCCCCAGCCCGGGGCCTCCTCGGGTGCCTGGCCACGGACAGAGGAGGAGCTGCGCGCCGCGGAGTCCGGTGCGGTGAAACGCGCTCACCGTGAGATCCTCGACCACGAGCGCAAGCGGCGTGTGGAGCTCAAGTGCATGGAGCTGCAGGAGATGATGGAGGAGCAGGGGTGAGTTGGCTCTTGGCCCAGGGCTCTGGTACAGGAGGGGCCAGAGTTGGGGGGAGGGCCGAGGCCGAGGGCGGAGCGGTGAGAGCTTGGGGAGCCGGGAGGCCCGGCCAGCTAGGTGCCAGAGTCTGAAGCAGTTCAAGAGGAATTGGTGCCAGCCCAGGTGAAACTTCAGTCATTAGCTTATTCAGCCCAGGAACTGCCTCTGAGTCCTTGCTTGTGTCCAACTCAGAATTGTGTTCGGTTCATAGAAGCCAAGGAGAAAGAGTCTGTGCCTTCCAGAAACATCCAGTCTAGTGAGGAAGAGAGGCCTGAAAACTCAAGGTCCCCTTCTATAAAATGGGTGGATCAAACTGGCCCTGTCCACGCAGTGCTTGAGCAAGACAAAATGCAAGTGGCCTTTGCCATGGTGGCCGGCTGCTTGTGGAATCCTGCTGCAGCCACGCCTGCAAGCACCGTTCCACACGTTTACTCCGGAGCCTGCCACGGAGGTGGGCAGGCCCAGACTAGGCAATCTGGACCCCAGAGCCAGACCGGAGTGACTTCCTCAAAGACCACTCCCCACCTTCGCACCCCTTTGCCGTCTCAGAAGGACAACAATGTTCACAACCCAAACAAATGAGGATCGCAGCTATAAGACAGGACAGGAGAGGACCACGCGCTTTGGGAGAGGACAGAAGGCATCTAAGTGGGTCTTGAGGGCTGAATGGAGTTTGTCAAGCTGTCAGTGGGCGATGATTAGTCAGTAGGATTTAGGAACCATCCTCACAGGTCCAGTGGAGACAAGGCAGCCTGTATCCAGCCAGAGGCAAAGAAGCAGAGAACAAAACCACCCTCATTTGTGTAACTTGGAGGAAAACTGATGGTCTTTGGCACTTGTCCTGAGTCCTTTACAACCAGTGGGCTGGCTGTGGAGGGAGTTAAGGTGGGGAGCAGGGGCTGCCCATTAGACCTGTGCTGTCAGTGAGCGGCAAAGTCAGAAAGGCCCCAGAACTGGAAGGGGATAGACAGCTTATGCCACACTTCCCAGCCACACCTGTGTCTGTCCACCAGGCCTCCTGGGCGACTCAAAGCTAGCCGAGAAATAGCTCACCTTCACACTGGAGCCCGGGAAGACACTGACACTCAGGTGGGGGACCCAAGGTCCCCGGTTGGGTGCCCATCAGAGTCACTTGTAAGAAAAAGAAAAGGGCACAGGGACTTGGTACTCACCTCCCAAGGGATGGATGGATGGAAGCTGCTGAAGACAGACAAAGGAGGCCTCCAGCTGGCAGTGAGAACAGGTTTGATGAGCTGGGGTTGTGGGCAGAGGAAATGAGATCCCAAGGGGCAGCCTTGAGTGGGGCTGGGAAGTGGAGTACCCTCTGCAGAGAGAGCCCAGGGCCCTTAATTAAACTTGCAAATCTTGCTGAGTTGGGAGACTTCAAGAGTGAAGGAAGTGTGGGCAGGCGGGTGTGGCTGGAGCACAAGAGAGATGAGTGGGACAGAGGCGGGCTGGCCTTCTGCACTGAATTCCTGGAAGCCACCCCACCCTCTCAAAAAGCCCCCGCTCCCCTCACTAAGCCCACTCCTCTTCTCTAACTCTGAAAATCCTTACCCTCTCAAAACCCCATCCTTTCAAGGAACTCAAAGCTCACACCCTCATGCTTCCCCTCTCCAAGCCTCCGCCCCTCCCTGCATGTCCTCTCGCCCCCATGAGTCTCCGTCGGTCTCCCACTGCACCGGGAAGGGGACTGTCAGATAAGAGGCCGGCTAAGACAGAGGGTTGTGTCACTTGGCCGTGTCCATGTCCACTCAGGGCCCTCCCCCCACGAAGCCCTCAGTGGAGGTGGTTGTCAGGCTGCAGTGTCCCATGAGTTACCATCCCCTCCCCACCCCTTAGGGAACAGCCACCCTCAAAACCAGTAATCCAGGCTGCCAGCCCTGGCCTGTGACCTTGGCAAGCCAGAGTCACTCATCTATACCAAAGGAACACCTGCCTTCCGGAGCGGTTCTCAGGGAGCCAAGGCACACGCAGGGCTCCCCTACATGCTGCCAATCCCCAGAAATGACTCCATAGACACTAGGGGCCCTTGCCCTCTTATAAAATCCAGTCATTAATATCCATTTCTGAAAACACTGGTTCATTCATGTTTATTTACCAGGCGTTTGACAAATATTCCCTCTAGAAATAGCAGCACACATTCTTCGGCCCCATTAAAAAGCAATCCCTCCCTTAATATTGATGGATGGTCGGCTCATTCACTGGCGATTTGGAGTCACCTTCCTGGGCAGCCTCTGCAGGCAGCCTGCCGTCATGGGGAGCCAGGCTGGAGCCCCCAGGCTGCAGTGTAAAACTGGTCAGCTTCCACCCCAGCCCTGGGGCCCCTCCGCTTCAAGCCCTCCCCTCTCCTCTATTTCCTCATCTATGAAATGGGAATAATAAGGCCACTGCCCACCTCTCTCTCTTCACTTCAGTGAAGATCAATTAATGACCAGTGAAGTAATTAAGAAGCACTGGGGCTGCACAAGGAAGGCAGAATGAGACATTTCCCACTCTGGGGACCTCTTTTAAAATACAGTGTCCCCTCACCCTACCCTAATACCAGCGGGTGAACCAGGGAGTTCTCAGAACAACAATGCATTCGGCGTGTCCTTCCCTAGTGGCCCACAGAGTGAAGCAGGCACAGAAGAAGTGAGACTGGCTGGGCAGCAGCTAAGCCAGGAGGCTGGCCTGAGGCAGCCGCATCGCCCTCCCTGCCACCCCGCCTCCAGCCGAGTCCTTGACTTTAAGCCAGCCAGGCCTCCTGCACGGCCTTGAGTGGGCAGGCATGCCACCACCACAGGGAGAGGATGGTTTGGGCCCTCGCCTCCCTCTCCAGCTCAGAGTTTCTCTCCTAGGAGAGCAGGCTGTGAAGACTCAAGTTGACTCCCCATTTGGTAGAATGATGACCTGCCAGAGAGCTGGGGTGTAGGAAACCAGGGAGCCTGGGATGACTAGATCCTCTGCCCCACTGCTTGGTGACAGGTAACCACCAGTCACTCCATTATGGAGCATCTACTGTGCGCAGGCACTGTGCAAAATGTGTTAGATGCATCAACTCCCTTAACCTAGAACAACCTGGAAAGACCGGTGACGGTCCCATGTCACAGATACAGAGGCCACGGCCAAAAGAAGTGTATGGACTTGCCCAATCGCAGAGCCAGAACGTGGGAGAGTGCAGGGACTCAAAACGGACTGCCTGGCTCTCTTACTTCGCCCTTAGCCACTGTTCCACGTGACCTCAGCTGAGAGAGTTGACCTCAGGACATCACTGGGGAGACTAGGAAGTGGTGGTTGCACTTGAGACCCCTTTACCCAATAATTGAATGTCATCCCGGGGCTCCCAGCCCCTTGCAGCCAAGGCCAAATGTCTAAGCCTGAAGCTGAACAAGGAATTGGGGAGAGACACTGACCATCAGGGTCCAGGGCTTGGCAACACTAGCCTAGAGGTGCCAGCATACACACACACTCACTCACACACACACACTCACACACACACTGCATTACTGCAGTGGGGCGCGGGGGGATCCTTCCTCTGCCAGCAGGACTTGGTCCTCCCTGGAATGGGTCTCATGGATGCCCAAACCTGCAAGCAAGCAGACCCTAGCTGGGTGAGGGTCAAGGAACGCTGGTTTGAAGTAAGTAGTGCATCTTATTTAACCCCCAATATGGTCAGTCAGCTCCCAAGTCCCAGCCATCCTCCCCACTACATGGTTTCTGTCCACTGTCTCCCCTGCACCCTCAGGCCCATTTTCTAGCTCTGACCTCACAGGCCTGAAGGACCCAAGGCCAGCGCCGGGCCCCTTCTCCAGCCACACGCTGCCAGCACCATCCTTCCAAAATGAAAATCCAGCCCTCAGAATCTCTAGTGCCTCTCCACCACTAGTTACTCACTTATCAAAAATTGTTGGATACCACATGTGGCAGGCAAGGTGCCAGTTGCTGGAGACATGCTGGCAACGCAGGCAGACAAGGCCCCTGCCCTCAGGGAACTCCCAGCCTGCCCGGGATGCAGAAGAGCCAACAGATAATGACTAGCGCAGGAACCACCTGCCAGGCTCTGGGGGTGCACGTTGCCATGGAAACACAAATGTTGGCTCAGAACCTAGTGGTGGGGCTCTCTCTCCTGCTGTAAACACCCCGTGAGTCAAGGCCTGTGCTCAGCCACGATTATCTCCACAGGGCAAACCTGGAAGTCAATTTGGTTGTGTTTATTTTGCCTAGAAAAGAATTACCAAATTGCTTTCCACAAAGACTGGGCCAGTGGGCAAATGCTTGCTGAGGGAGATGAGGAAAGGCAGGCTGAGCAAGGAGGGAGTCGAGGATCGGGTCCCTGAAGGGAACGAGGTACCACTGTCACAGACAGACTGAGTGGAGGGCAGGGCCCACTGTGTGCACAGAGAATGGATGAGGAACAGGTGACAGAAGCAAGATGAGCCCCCTGTTCCTATTTTGCCACCATAGTTTCTGTCCAGGAAAATAACTGCAAGAAGAGGAAGAGGGCCTGGGAGCCCAAGACTCATTCAGCAAAAACCACCTGCTGTGTGCCTGCCACTAGGCAAGGGACAAGGGAACCAGTGACCCTCCAGGGATAGGCAGCATGGACAGGTGCTGGAGGGGCTGGGAGGCTGGGCAGCAGCTTGGGGTGCAGTGAGAGACAATGACCAATGACCCCAAGGTGTGAGAACAGGAAGGAGTAGACAATTCTGGACTTTGATCCCTAGCCTGAGGCTGGGCTCTAGGAGGGAAGCAGAGAGAAGTGAAGTCAGAGCTTCCATTCAAGGCCGACTTTGTCTCCCCCCACCACCATAAGCCCCAGGAAGAGGGAAGCAAAGGGGATCCCAGGCACTCCCCTTAGTGGCCTTGATCTGGCAGAAGTGGGGGAACACTGCGTATTTCCCAAGACCATTGTGAGGCTCAGATGTCCAGGAGGCCAGGAAAGCAGAAGGCCACCTAAGTGCCACCACCTGATTCTCACATCCTAAAATGTGTCCAGGGAATGGCTGCAGCCTGGCTATAGGGGAGGCCGCCCTGGGGGTGGAGGGAGATGCAGCTTACCTGGTGGCCTCTCCAGCTCTGTGAACGGCTCTTCCTTGTTTATGTGGTTGGTTATTTGGTTAGCTGGCTGCCTCAGTGCAAAATGGACAGACCTCCAGCTTCCCCAGCGTGAAAGCTATGCTTGGTGGTATGACAAGGACAACTTCTTGCAAGCGGGAATGTGCCCTTGGGCTGGGGGCTGGGGGAGTGGGGGGTGGGCTGGAGGGGATGGGCAGAGAGGGAACCAAAGCCAGCAAAACATCCCTCACCCCCCCCACCCCCCTGTACCCCTCTTCCTGCAGGTACTCAGAGGAAGAGACCCGGCAGAAGGTCAGGACTTTTCGGCAAATGCTGATGGAGAAGGAGGGAATGCTCACCAGGGAAGACCGGCCTGGGGGCCACATGTGAGTCATGCCTGTGTGGGAGCAGAGGAATTGGGGTGCAGGCTCAAGCAGCAGCTAGAAAGGCCCAAAGGGGCCTTTCTAAGTGTTCCTCAGACAGTTGGGGCTGGAGGTTCGAGGAGAGGCTTGAGGAGGAGAAGGAAGAGGAGAGGCCATGGGCCTGTCCATCGGAAGCTCTGGTCTGGCCCAGGGAACAAGGGAGGGGTGCCGGGCACCAGGGCATCACCAAGGGTTTCTGCCTGCCACCTGGATTCTTTTTAAGGCTCAGCAGTGAGGGGAAAGGAGACAACCCAGATATCAGCTCAGGGACTCCTGGGCATGCATTAAGAAACTTCAGAAATGACCTGACAAAAATCTCACAGAGTTGCCACAGAGTTCCACTGGCAGACCGTGTGCCCATGAGGCAGTCCCTCTGTCCCAACCCTTTCAGCCTGTAAAATAGGCTCCAGACTAAGCAGGGACACTGGGGAGTAAGAAACGCTTGGCCTTTTAGCTAAGACGGTGTTGAAAAGGCCAACATGCCAGACGCTGTTGCTGTTGAGGCCGATGACCAGGAGAGGAAAGAGCAGGATTCCGCAGGGGTCCCGTCGCTACCTGTCATGACACGGAGGAGCACCGATATGTCATGGACACCTGGCAGGCTTTGGGTGAAACAGGGAAGTAATAAGGGGTGAATTTTGTCAGATTAGAGACCTGGAACCATGCAAAACCGTAGTAATAGCTGCGGTAGGAGCCGGGGCCAGCCAGGCCAGCCGACATCCTGGCTGACGGCGTCGGGCCCGTGCTCGCTGGGCATCACGGAGTCACAGAGCATCTCTGAACCCACTGCATGGGCTCTCGCTGGCTGAGGCTCAGTGCCCCTACCCAGGACAAGCATCCACATTTCTTTGGCTAGAAGTAAAGCAGGCTGGGTGAGGGGCTGAGAGCAGGCCCACACCTCTGGAGGACTAGTCTGGGGAACGGGCCTCTTGTTGAGGTCCCAAATCTTGTTCCCCTTTACTGCCCACCCCCTCAGAGTGGTTTTCCTGTTGTAGCAGTCTTGAGAACAAAACAGTATTGAGGGAGTCGACAGACCATCTGGACGACCGCAGGTTCCAGGGGTGGGGGACTCCCCAAGTAACTCTACTAGTCTCTGGCAGAAGTGAAAGCATAACTGGGCTTTATGGGGGGATCACGGGGGATCTAGAGAGCCAGGCTCAGATGACCTGATGTCTGTCCCCTTTGGTAGGAAGAGGTGATGAACCCCCTTGTCTTCAGTCTCCGTAGCTCATATGCTTCCCCGCTCAGTGAGGCCAGCTCCTCTTCCCTCTTAACCTCCTAGCAACCAGATGTACCCACTGCTGCTCGATCACCCCCAAAACCAGGAGGTCCTGGCTTTCCGATCTTTGCCAGCTTCTCTGGGCTCTTCTAGCAGTAACTGCCCCTCCTGCCCAATGCTGCCATTTCCCCTCTCCCAGGTGCCTTCCTGTTCATTTAATTCCCATCCTTCCTCAATCCTGCTTTCTCCTCTGCCACATTTCGCATTTTTCTCTCCTTTCTCGACCAAACTCCTGTAGAGTATGTGGCACCTCTTGTCTCCTTCCTTAAGCCAGGGAGCTCTCACTTCTGCCCTGGGACTCTTGTTACCTGCACAGCTGTGGCCACCCAGGGCCTCCTCGCATGGCCATTATTGTCCACAGGCTGGCCTCTCTCAGGCACGTGCCCACTGGATGCCCACATTCTCTCCGCCGGCTTCAAAGATGTGGTTCTATTGGGAGTTTCCTGTCACCTTTCTACCAAGTGCTGCTGTCTTCCTCACTCCTAGATTCTCCCCAGATGTTGCCCCTGTCCTCTGTCTCCTCCCTATGGGGTCTCATCCCCATGTGGGGGTCTCATCCATCACCCAGCTGGAACTTTCTCCTGTTGACAAATGACTCCCAAGTCTTGACCTTCCCTTTTCTTGAATCACTGAGTGAACTGGGATGCAGTGGGACATCAGCTCTGTCTCCATCATGGGAAGGGACATCTTACAGGGTGTGGGCTATGGTCTGAGACAGGAGGAGAGGCCAGACAGGTCTCCTGCTGTCTGGTGGAAACATAAACCTGCACCGTGAAACCAGGAGTTACTGTCAACCCCTGACAAGAAGGCCACTTGAGCGGTTTGATCTTCAGGGCCTATGTGTGTTGAGTAGGAGATGAGAGGAAATGAGCTGGAAGAGTCCCATGAGGAAGGGGCCGTTAGAAGTGGCGGAGTCTGAAGATGGCACGGTGAGGGGGCACAGCTGCTCTGGGGAGAGCAGCGATTTTGCAGGCTCCTGCTCTCCCACTAGTATGAAGGCAAATCTTCATCACTTTTGTTTACTGCTGTACCCCGGTACCTAGAACAGTGATACTGCCCGATTTTCCCTGAAATTTCCTCCTTGCAGGGAAGGGGTTGGCCAAAATGTTTCTTCTAGCCCAGGCAGCCAAGATGGTATGAAAATAGCACTCTAGAGAGTGACTGCAGCAAGCTAAGGAGGCTGATGGCTGCCTGGATTACTGAGTTTGGGAGGAGCTGTTTGTGGTACTGAATCCAAGGCACAAGATAGCGGTGACCCAGGGCTGGAGGCTCTTTGTGTCTTCCTGTGTGCCTGGCATCTGACCAAATCTTCACTTATCAGTTTAGATTGTGGGATGGTGGAGGCAGGATGTGGGGTTTGGTGTAGGATGCTCCCCCATCCAAATCTCTTAAGTCAATGTGAACTCCATCAACTCTAGTTCCCAATACCACCATACCTGTGCTGTGTGATGTGGGCAGGTCCTTGACTTCTCCCAGCTCCCCTGTCTTACTTCATAAAATGGAGATAAAAATTCATAACATGGCCCTCCCTGATGCGCAGTGAATTAAAGCACAGTACTAAGAATCTAAATCCACCTCAACATGAGTTCAATCCCCGCCCCGCCCCTGAGGTGACCCACATGGCGTGGCAGACCTCTCCTGACCCGCCCACTGCTCCCCTCAGCAGTGTATTTCAGTCATTCTGCCTGTCCTGCTCCCCATTCTGTCTCTGGTGAAGCCTCTCACCACCCCTGGCCTGTACATAAGTACCCTGGGGTACTTCTGGCCTGTACCCCAGTTCTGTATGTATAAATAAATAAATCTTCCCCCAAATTCATAAAATGGAGATAAAATTCATAAAGTGGAGATGTTGAGGATATTAAGTGAGACCCTCAAAGTAAGTGAGGAATAGTGATAGGCACACGGCAGACATGTCCTGTGACAGCTAAGACCACCACCGCTGTCTTAGCTCAGACCACTCGAACAAAGAAAGTGCTATAAGCAGGGTGGCTGATCAGTGTTAGAAGTCTATATTTCTTAGCTCTGGAGCTGGGAGTCCGGGATTCCAGCATAATTGGGTTCAGCTAAGCGTCTTCCTCCCAGGGGCAGACATCTACTTTCTTATATACTGACATGGCAGAAAGAGAGCTAGTTAGCTCTCTGACCTCTTCTTTTTTTCTTTTTTTTTTTTTTTAAAGATTTATTTATTTGTGCATACAGAACTGGGGTACAGGCCAGAAGCTCAGGGGCGGTGAGAGGCCTTCACCAGAGACAGAGTGGGGAGCAGAACAGGCAGATCGACGAAGTACACTGCTGAGGGGAGCAGCGGGCGGGTCAGGAGAGGTCTGCCATGCCATGTGGTCACCTCCGGGGCCGGCGGGGATCGAAGTCATGTGGAAGTGGCTTTAGCTTCTCAGTGCTGTGCTTTAACCCACTGTGCCACCAGGGAGGGCCTCTGACCTCTTCTTATAAGGACACTACTCTCATTCACGGGGGCTCCCTCCTGATGACCTAGCTACTTCCTGAAGGTGCCATCACACTGGGGTGAGAGTTGCAACATATGGATGTGGGGACACCAACATTCCATTCACAACTACCCCCATCCTCGTGATCATGGGGAGCCTAGCAATGGTGAGTACTAGGCCAGCCTTAACTGTTCCCTTCTGCCTGACTATCGCCATGCTCTTGCCAGTGTGGGACTCTCACAGGAGACTCTGAAGCCCTCTAACCACCCAGTAGTTAGTCCTTGCTCATGCCTTTGGCTTCCTGACCCTGACAATTCCATAGCTCCTTTCGTCATCTGGTATTTTGAGACATGGGGAAATTCACTGCCCTCACAGAATAAGATGACAAAGTCAAAGCTCCTTGCCAGGGGTGGGCAAATGTGTGGTTTTAACCCTCCTGGACTGTGAACCCGAGACATCTCCCACTCAGGGAAGAATCTCAGTAGAAGCAGGGTCACTTCCAGAGCTTTTTGTCTCTAAGAATCGCCCTTTTCCCTTAAGCTAATGGGCTGGTTTGAGTGACAGTGTCTCTCAGTCTGCTACACACTGGACACTGGACACTGTCCATCATGCTGCTGCAGTATCTGGACATGATCCCAGAGGTGGTGGCGGCCTGCAGGAGGTGTTTGAGAGGTGTCCTGTGATCAAACTAGTGTTTGGGAAATTTCCCCTTGGAAAATGCATCAAGTATGTGGAATTTCAGGAAGAACAGTGGGTGCAATTAGCCCTCTAATCTGAGAAACACGTGCTGAGAGCAGGATTGAGGATTGAAGGCCTAGAGACACTGAAAGAGGACACACTTTTGCCTTTTATAATGGATTGATATGGAGAGTCCTGTTTTGCCCGAAAAACTTCCTGTGGTTTCCCCAACATCCATCCATGCTGGACTCCTAAGTCTGGCATCAAAGATCTCCATACCCAGCCTGGCTTTCCATACCACAGGGGTCCACTCCTGGTGACCTAATACTCTTGGTCCTGCATGCTCTCATTTCCTCACCCCTGCTCACACATGACCTTCAGTTTGACACAGACTAGCCCCTTCAAATACACTCCAACACTCAAGGCTGTCTCTAGAAACCACTTCTGGCATTCCCAGGATAAAAGCAAACTCTCCACCTCTCTGGAATACTTACATGTTGTGTTCTCTACTTCTCCTGCTGGTATCTATTCTTTTTTCTCTCTGATAGACAATCTTTAAGAATAATTGTTTTCATATTATATAACATAACACAATGTTGGGACTGAGGGTTCACAGAGGGCAAAATTTAAAAGCCACTCCCTAACACACTAGGTAAATCCCAGTCTTTGTTATATTCTATGCTTCTAATTTTATACCTAGTGTGACTTCTCTATGTTTCATTATTTTTTTTAAGATTTATTTATTTATTCATACAGAACTGGAGTACAGGCCAGAGATGTGGAGGGTGAGAGGGTTCACCAGAGACAGAGTGGGGTACAGAACAGGCAGATCGACAAGTACACTGCTGAGGGGAGCAGCGGGTGGGTCAGGAGAGGTCTGCCACGCCATGTGGATCTCCTCCGGGGCAGGCGGGGATTGAACTCATGTGGAAGTGGCTTAAGCTTCTTTGTGATGTGCTTTAACCCGCTGCACCACCAGAGGGTTCATTATTTTATCTATAAGTTAGGTTTCTAATGTTGGTACCACCTCAGTGGCTTATTCTGAGCATTAGATGATTACATGAGATAAGCTTGCAAAGAGCTTAGAATAGTATCTGGCACCTGCATTAGTAGCTATGATCATATGCGCCATGTGTGATATTTTCCGTTCACTGTGAAAAGCTACAGAAGTTCCAGGCCTGATTCATCCCTGGTCCTACGACTGCCCCCAGGCCCTTGCTCCTGCTGGCCTGGCCACTGAGTGAATGAGTGGCAAGGGCAGACCTGATGCCTGGAATCCTTCCCTTCTTCTGTCTGGATTCATTCATCTGTCAATTGACCATTATGCTCCTGGCTAATGGGAAACAGAACCAGTTAATTAGGGAAATTGCTGGCATGGGAAAGAGAGTGAGATGGGCAGTCTCCCCCAGGTCGGAGCCCTGACCGTCACGGCCAGGCCAACAAGTGTCCACTGAGGCCGTGCTCAGCCTTGACACACAATCGGCTCCTCTATAGTAGACTCTTTTGGACCTTTGATCACCTTTGTGGGGTTGGTTTGCTCTGCCGTAAGGGAACAACGCCACTCCTGCCTGTTCCACAGATGTGGTGAGAAGATAAGTAGATAAAAACATGAGCTTAAGAACATGGAAAGTTAAACAAACACAGAACTCACTCTCTGTGTAGTGGGGAGGGGACAGCTGTGCTAACATCTGTAATGGGGAGGGCCAGCCAAGAAGCCAAGGGCTGTCCTAAATTCTCACATGAATCTTCAAAGCCAGTTGCCTGGGTGAATTTACATTCTTTACCAAAAGCCTCCCAACCAGGAGGGTTGTTCCCTTCCTGCCCTGGGTCTCAGCATGTTTTCATCTGTGTCAGGAAGCATTTCTGAATGGGGTTTGAGAGCTGTAGAGAGTTATTTAAACCTTAAGGGACATTACTGTCAGCGATGTTATCCAGGGGAGGCAGGTAGGAGAACCCAGTCTTCTAACCCTGGGGGGGTCTCACAGAGGTGAAGTGGTACCAGTTACACAGGGCTGACAAAAGAGGCTGAGCCTAGACCCAGTTATAAGACTCCCAAAGCAAGTTTTACCAGAGACTCTGACACCATGAGTCTCTCTCAGAGCCTGCTACTCATATCCTATTGAAAGACAGAGGCTCCCAGCAGACAAGATCTGAAGGAAACTTCCAAAAGGAGACTAGAGAGTGAGAAAAGCCAAATGACAAGTCCCCTGGAAGGAGGATGGGGTAGGAGGTGCAGAGCCCTGTCCCCCGGAACAGAGAGTAAAGAGAGAGAGAGCCCCTTGGGGTGTATCGGCAGGATAAAGAGGGCACAGAGGAAGGCTTGAGTGAGGTCCCGATCCGTGGCGAGACTAACTGACACATCAAGGGATGAGTGAAGTTCCCTTGGGGACAGAAGGCTGTCCCCAAACTGAGCTATTTTATTTTGTAAGTAACCTTTTTTAATGTCAGGCTAAGTGGAAGCGCCCTCCTCCCACTGGCTCCCCCACATAATGCTGGAGGTGTCCTTAAGTTCTGCTGAAGACTATGTTTTATGTGTCAGATATTTGTGTGGCTCAGGACTGTGTGGGAGTGATGGACCCTGAGAGGATGGGGGGTTGGACAAGCCGAGAACTTAGTGATTCCAGGGCCAGAGACCGGAGCAGGGGGCCAGTGCTTTCAGGAGGTGTGGATGAGGGGATGAGGGGTGTTTGGCTGTGCAGGGGCAGGGAGAATGACATGAGCTTCTCCTCCACCACTCTGGAAAATACATGCAGTATTTCCTGCATGGCGCTGGGCTGCCACAGCCAGTCCATGTTCAGGAACTGCATGGCTTCCAGGCTAGCACACCCTGTGAGATTTGAGTTATAAAAGCAGTCTTCAAAGAGTGCATCTGTGAGTTCCCTGCTAGAGATTTCTCCCTGAAAGCTCTTTCCCTTGTAGCTGTGGCTGCCTTCCTGGTTCCCGCTGACTTTGATGTGTGGGAGCTGAAAGAAAAGGTGGAACAGAAAGTGTTGGTGTGTGAGCATCTGCCTGAGGCCCCATCTCACAAAAGCAGCCAGGACCAGACCACAGTCCAGAGCCAGACCTCATGTCAGAGGCAGAATCTGACTTAATCCTCTGCTCAAAGCCGGGATAGGCTTTTGCCCCGTTGTGTAGATAAGGACCTGATTCTCCGGGAGCACGGCCATGCCTGAATACAGACCAAAGATCATGTCATGTCCTTAATACTCTGCTGTCCAAGCCGTTGCCTCCCTCACTCTGGGGCAGAGAAAGAACAGAGGAGGGGAAGGGCACTCAAGTAAGGGTAATTCTGCTGAAGCTCCGTTCAGGAGGGGCCACTCTCTAGGTGAGGGAGGCGGGGGTTCACCACCCTGGAGCCGTTCTCTTCCTTTGGGGCTCACTTCCAGGCAGTGAGGACTCTCATCTTGGGGAAAGAGGCTCACAGAGGGGACATGACAGACACCAGGTCACACCGTGACTCAGAGACAGCACATGACGAGGGCTTCTCTGTAGCGTCAGAAATCACGCCAAAGTCCGGCTGCCTCTAAGGAAAAATGGTCACTCTGCCAAGTGCCTGCAGGGAGCAAACATCTGTGGCAGAAGCCTGGGCTCCAGGCGGGCCGGAACAGGGGCTGAGCAAAGGGGAGAGCTGTGGGGAGCCTGGTGGCGGGCAAAGTGCTGAGGCCCACAGAGCAAGGGACAGTGATTGATGACAGCCAGTGGCAGAGAAGAGCAGGGCCTCCTTGGGGCTGCAGGGAGGGGAACTGGAGAGGCCATGGATATTTTAGAGAGGCAGCCGGGCTGAGGAAGAAGGGGCACAGGAGAGGGGGTCTCTGGAGTAGGAAGGGCTCGGGGTGGGGTGTGACAGCGGTGTTAGAGAAAGCCAGAGGTGGGGGTGGGGGGTGGGGGGGTGCCCTAAGACCCCAGGAGGGACTCTGCCAGCTGGGCTCAGAGAGGGCTAGGGGGCTGGACACAGGACTGTGGAGTTAAGGGGGTGTGGGATTGGTGAAAGGGGCCAGAGGGGTCCAATGAATCGAGCTGAACATAAAGAATCAGTGCGGAAAGGGTTCAGTGAGGGGAGGGACCTCGCTGACGTGGGGAGGCCGGTGCCCTTTTTTCTCTTGCAAACTATGGCACTGTTGAGGCTGAGAGGTGTGTTAAAGAGCCCCCCTGGCGTCACCCAACTCTCTGCTGCCCGACCCTTTAGGGGTTGGACTGCAGCCCCACCGTGGCCTGCCCTGCCCCTGAGGTGAGCACCCCTCCCCCACCCGCAGCATGGCGGAGACCCCGCGGCTGACGGAGGGCCTGGAGCCAGGCCTGGCCTACGCGCCCTTCGACGACGACGACGACGGCCTGGTGGACTGCGACTGCCCAGCCGCCTGCTACCGCGGCCACCGGGGGTACAGGTCAGTGGGCTCCGAGCTGGGGAGCCGGGAAGGCTGCCCCGTCGCTCTCACCTCAGCCAGCCACCTACCCCTTCTCGCCTAGGACCAAGCACTGGTCCAGCAGCTCAACGTCGCCCCCTCCCAAGAAAAAGAAGAAAAAGAAAGGCGGCCACCGGAGAAGCCGGTGAGAGTGCGCCTGGGAGCGGCCGCGGGCGCTGAGGGCGCTGTGGGCCAGCGTCTTCTCTCTAGCCTCTGGCGCCGAGCCCCGCGCTCCCCTGCACCGCCCGGGCGCTCAGCTGTGGCGCGTGCGGGACTTTGGCGTGGAGCTTCTGACCGGCCCTGGGCCCTCCCTCGCCCCCCACCCCTCCCCCACCCCTCCCCCACCCCAGCCGGTCTGCGCTGGGCCAGGACTCCTGGCCTGGGGGGAGGGAGTTAGCTGGGTCTCAGCTACCTTTCCCCATCTCTTATGCCCCACTGCCCAGTCCTGAGGAAGACCCTGGGAAATATCAGGGTCCCCAGCTAACTCCGTCCATCTGTCTGTCCTTTCTCCCTTGACCTTCAGCAAAAAGAGGAGACTAGACTCGGAGTGCAGGTCAGTGGTGAAGGCAGACAGGGCCCGGTGGGGCGAGGGGTGCTGCCTGCGGGTGGTGGGACTCCCGGCTACCCCCTGAGGCAGGAGGCCTGCCATCTCAGAACCTGTACCCTGGCACCATCCTAGTTTCCCCCACAAGGGCCAGAAGCCCCACCATAGGAACCTCTAGCCGCTGGGTGGGATGAAGTTCTTACTCACAATGGGGGGGGGGGGAGCTGGGCAAAGCCTGGGGACCACACAGGCAGTTCCCTCAGGGACCCAATTCACTTTGTACAACTGTACAACCGACAACTAGCTATACGGCCTGGAATCCCCTTTCCAGTTCAGGTACCAGGGTACCTAGGCCACCCCTGTCATTACCAGTGGCAACTCCCCCTGCCCCCCCAACCCCTGCCAGGACCCCAGTTCAATAGCCACAACCCCCCTGTATCCACAGCTGTGGGAGCTCCTCACCCCTTCGCAAGAAAAAGAAAAGTGTGAAGAAGCATCGCAGAGACAGGTACCGTGTCTCCCCTGGGGTTCCACGCACTTCTGGGGCCAGTGTCCAGGGCTGTTGAAGCTGGTATCCCCAGACCATCCCAAGGGGTCTCCCAGGGGGCTCACGAGAACCCTTTTATGGCCCTACAGGTCTGATTCTGGGTCCCGGAGGAAGAGGCGGCACAGGTGAGCGGTGCCCTGGGAGGCATCACGGAGGATGTGGACAGAGGCCTCCCGCAGGATCCAAGGGTTGTGAGGCTGCTGCTGGCCTCCATCCCCGGACTCCAGGAACACCTGCTCAGAGCCAGGCAGGGCACAGGAGGGTGGGGGAGGAGGAGGAAGCCCACCGTTTGCAGCCCTTGCTTGCCCAATGAGTCAGCCTTTCCAATGTCCACAAGGGTGTGGCCATGCAGGTGCCCGTTGGGGAGGCAGAAACAACAGGACTCTGCATTTGCAGGGAAAGGGCATGCCAGGCAGAAGGACGGTCCTCAGTAGAAGGCTCACTTGGGGGTGGGGGGAGGAGGGGTGGGCAGGCTGTAATCAGAGGTGAAGTTTCAGGTGCTGGGGGCCCCAACAGGCCTGACTGCCAGGTGTGGGCTGGCCTTGGAGAGCAGGAAGGGGCAGAGAGGATAGGTGGGAATCAGCTTGCAGCTCTGGGCAAACAGTGATTTGTTCTAGATGGACAGTCAGGAGAGGAGGAAGTAAGGACAGAAACTCAGGCAGAGGCTGGGCTGGGGAAAGTAGAAGCCTGGAGGGAGAGAGATGTGAGGCAGCCACATCCCCGCAGTCGGCCCAGCCAGACCGCGAGGAAGAGCAGAGTCCCCAGCCCCTGTTCCTCTATAGGAAGTTGCCCATGTTGACTTGCCGGGGGAGGAGAGAGCATAAACACTTAATCCTGCTCCTCAGATTTCCCTTCTCCCGGATTTCCTCCCTTGCCCCCATGGACCAGTGTGGGTCCCTACTGCCCCCCAGTGGTCACCAAAGGCTTGCACATCCCTGGTTGGCCTCAGTCCAGCAGGACTGGAGGTTTGTTGGGGGGGCCCGGGGATGGGGAGGCTATTTCAGATGAGCCTGAGGCCCAAAGCAGGCAAAATGGCTTCTGGGATCCAAAATATTTGGCTTCCAGACCTGCCCAATCCCTCACTCTGCTCCTGTGAGAAGCATATGCCAGCGTTTCTTAGTATCACTTCTGTTTGGCCGGAAGAAAGAATCTTCACCTTTGGAAGGATTTAGTTGGAATCTGGTAGCATTAGAGAAGGTGGAAACTGAGAGACCTAGGAGATTAATCAGAAGTTCCAAATCTTTTTCACAAAGGCAGAAGGAGCTGGGCTGTGGTCCAGTGGTCCAACCCAGGGAACTAGAAGCAGAGAGAACCCATAAGCAGAAAGAAAGCATTTCTTTTACATTTAATTTTATTTTTAAAGATTTATTTACTTATGCACACAATAACTGGTGTTTAGGCCAGAGGTGTGGGGGGGGGGGGTGTGAGAATTCATCAGAGAAAAAGAAGGGAGCAGACCACTACACACTGGAGAAAGGACCTTCTAACACCCTGTGTATCCCTTATTTGTCTATCATGCTATAAGAGTTCAAGGTCACTAAATGTTCTCTGGCCTCAGATGTGGTGTGTGCATGTGTGTGTGTGGGGGGGGGGGGTGTGAGTAAGTGCAATTGTCCCAGTTCAAGTCAATGGGAAAAGATTGCTGAATAACTTTTGAGATATTTATGTAAAAAAAAGCAACACCACCAAAGAGAAATCCTTGTGGTTAAAACCT